TATACTTGGTTTTCATCCAGACTCGTATGCGATAAAAACAAAACAAAACACTTTGACAAAACGGAAGCGCAATGAAGAAAAAACAAATCAGGGAAACGGCAGAAAAGACTGGTCTCCCTGTGTAATCGGTCTGGGGGTAGATATAACTCCTACCAAACGAGCTAGTTCCACCGGTCGCCCAATAGATCACCGTAAATACGATATAGGCTATTTCGTAGAGCATAGGGTAGATGACATGGAATAAACGCACTGGCACTGAACTCAGCACGGTTTCAGCAACCATAAGGATGGAGTTAACGCCATGTACAATAACTGACAGGGCGTTTGGGTTTTTCCTGGATATGAACGTCCAGTAAGATAAAGTCACAAGAAGGGCGGCAGCCGATGCAATGTTATATATTACCCACAAGGCCTCATGGTACCAATACATTGGCGTCGCCCGTGTTGCTTTAAAATTGCCATCAGTGGGAAAAGTGTCATCATCTCCTTGCTCACGTCCTTCTCTGCATCCGTTGTTTATCTCACCTTCCTTTCGTTGTGGAGCCTCTTCTGTTTCAACATCCATTCTATACTGGAAAATATTTTTTCTCGTTTTCCATTGTTTCTTGTAGTGAAGAGCTGTGATTGTGCAAGCACAAATGAAATACATTGTGATGAAAGAGAAACTCCAATTGGTCAGATAAATGAACCACTTGGGTCCGTTTTTTCGGTGATAAACTCCACTCGCAATCGTTGTGCCAAGGCAGAACACGGCGACGATAAAACGATACAGCAAAACGGTCAACGTTCCAAACCACTAGGAATATATAAAATATTAGCGTAAGCACCGTATCTGAATCGTAAATCGTTTACTTGATTTAACTGTGATTGATAAAGGGACTAGTCGTTATTTATTCCCGAGGGGAGGAGGGGGGCGAGGTCGGAGTATGTTTGGACAAAATCATATGATTTTAATTGGAATGGAGGGGAATCATTTGTCGCTAAAGGAGTATGAAAGGGTAAAAGGGAGGGAGGTTGTGGAATAGGAAATTGACTGCCAATGAAGAGGATCATTAAAATGCTGCAGAGCCTTATAAGAGGATCAAATAAATTTTATTGTTGCACAATCAAAACAGTTGCGCGTCAAAAAATTTATTTCCGACCATTCTTTGGTATATCGACAAATATA